TGCATAATAAAACATCTAAGCACCTATATCTACTGCTTCATATATATAGAAAGTACAAGGCAACATTAAAAAGCAGAGGTTTGGAGTAACATTTAATAATGTTCTTACAGAAAATGTTCCAAACTGGGGGAAAAAAAAAAAATCTGAAATTTTGAAGATACTAAATGCAAGGAAACTCTTGAGGGAATGACCACTAAAACCAAAATAGTAATAAAAGTGAAAACCTAGAAAACTCTGTGTCATTTGGTTTAATTTCCATTAGAAAGTAATCAGCCTCAGTTTGATCTTTCCCTTCCGTGATATCAAACCCTGACTAAACATGGCCCGGAGTTTCAGTCCCTAAACAGAATTCCTAGAGAAGAATGGCAGCGAGCAGAAACACAGAGCATCGTGTTTCCATGGGGAAGATCGATCCCCCCGTGTCACTGGGCAGAGGAAAACACGACATGGTGTGCACAAGCGCCACCAAGAGGTTCTTCTGCCGTCGCCCAAGGAAGATTTTTCCCCCTGTGCCGCTCAGGCACATCCTCAACACCTTTCGAGCATGCTCCCTGCTGCATTTTCTGTGAGCATTCCAAACGGAAAGCAAAGAAAAGGATAACTTATTTCTTAAGGGTTCCTTCCAGAGAAGAGGGGGGGCGGGGGAAGAGGGGAAGATATATTTACACCACGTACAGTTTTTTGACAATGGAAATTTTAAATGTTGTGGCAACAGAAAAAATAAGATTGCTGCCCAGTCTGGATCTGGAAAATGTTAAATTCCACCTTATCAGCCACCGAAACAGCATCAGGAGGGATCTGTGGCTGAACTGACTCACATCAAAACCTATGCAATCCTATTTTTTTCCTGTCAAATTCAACTGTGAGATTCAAATAGTAATAATACTTCTGTAGTGTGATGCTGGAGACCATTTTTAAAGGTAAGCAGAATTTTTTTCAGATGTTTTCATCGTGGTGAGAAAACCAGTTTTGTCCTTATCACTGCCCTTTTATGAGCTGAAGAGAATGAGCTAAAAAGCCACAGGTTTTTAATTCCTCTACAATGTTAAGGGCAAGCCCTCAAGCCCCAGGGTTTTGCTTAGAAAGCCCCTGAGGTCAGCATTCCCCTAATCTGCTTGGCCTGGCAACTCTCACCAGTCAGTGGGGCTGGACTCATTTCAGTGGTGAAAGCGTCACCCAGACATTTGGGGAAGTTGGGTGCTTTGTGCCATGGCAAATCATTGCTCTCAAAGTGGCAAATCATCCATCCTAGTCTCACCATCTCCCCACAAAGGAAAACCAATTTGTGGGCTTCCCAGGTGCTGAAAGCTCAACATTTTCTCCAGGAAGGGGAGTGAGGTTGAGATACAACCTTGAATTAAACCTCCCAGGTGAGGGTGCAGGCATCCCAGAGAGATCTCAGGTGTGTCAGACTGCAAGTCTGACTAAACCCAGGACTTGAAGCATTAATTTGGACTAAATGGTCTCTAGAGGTTCCCTCCAGTCACTGTTATCCCATGATTCTGCAGCCCAAAAGGACCATGACACCTTCAGGTCGGTGGCAAAGAAATGTGAGGCCCTGACTGGAGGAGCCATCAGTGGTGGCAGCTTTTTGCCTCAAAGCTCATCACATCACCAAAGCACCTCCTAGGGCTGGGGGAAGAGAGAAGCAAAGAGGCTCCCTCCCACATACAGTACATGGCCAGGGAAGGGACCAAGTGATCTCAAAGCAGAAGACATGGAAAAGTATGACACAGATTAACAAATTCACACTCTTTATTGCTGCCTGTGTTAAAGCAAGTGCCTTGCCTATTCTTTAGCACAGAGGCAAGGCAACACATTTTTGCTTTTCCACACCTCTGCTGTCAGGATTGGCCAGAAAAATGTACAGAAGTTCATGGTTCTTATCAAGACTTGAAAACAAGGGGAAGCAGCACCACGGTTTTAACTTAGAGGGCACAGAACAGACACACTCCTTAGAACACAATGCAACACTGAACTCCGTGCAAGTTCCAAGGACTCCTGTCGTTTTCCCCACAGTTCATTCATTTTCACCACCATCCATCAGGTAACTGAGGGTTGGGGGGAACTGGAGCTGAGGTGTTTCCAGGCAGCTCATTCTCCCACCTAACTCCCAAGATTTAAGGTGATATAAGCACCTGAGGATTAAAGGCATTTTAACAGCTTATACAGATTTAAACATCTAAAGCGGCTTAAACGCTTATGTTACTTTCAAGGCTTTAAAGTGGCTTAACTATCCATGGCACTTGATGAATTTACGGATGCTCAAAAGCCTACACTGCCTTTAAAACAATCAAGCAAACTTTAATACAGTTTTTTTAAAAGGAGGTATACCTTATAACATCATTATATTTTAGGAGGGCTGTCCTGCTTGGCTCCTGCCAGGTAGTACCAGGTCACCCAAGCCTCCAACCCGATGGCTTTCGTGGGAGGTGGATGCCAGCGCCTTACCTGGCGGCAGCGGGCCCCACACCTACCGGAGAGCCGGGGCTGAACGTCCCCGCTCCCGAGTTCCGCTCCCAATTAAGCGAGAGACAGGGGATGTTTATTGGCCCGAGCTGCCCCCGGGGACTCTCTCAGGCACATCCCACGCCCCGACAGCCGGCGGGCAGCGCCGGGCTGTGCTGGAGCAGGGGGCGAGCATCATATGCACCCCGGGAAGGCGGCTGGGCTCACGGTGAACGGGCCCTGCTGCCCTGCAGCGACGGCGAGCAGCATTCGGGTCCTCAGGCCGTGCCCGAGCTGGCAGCGAGGAGGGCTGAAGACAGCCTCGCCCTCTGGCGCTTTTCACCTGCGAGGACACCAGAGACTGCTCGGGTCTGCAGGCTGGTTTTGTTTACGTGATCTCGGGTCATTTTAAACTTAGAGTAAATGAGTTCACCGGGGGTCATTAAAAATGGAAATAATAAGGTCTCAATAAAACCTTGTTTCACATCAAGGCGTAATCCAGGAAAACGTGTGGTTTTTCTGCTTATTTCCTGTGAGCTGGAAACAAACAAGCAAACAAGTCTGGTGAAAAGAATGAGCAGGTTTCTGTCGGAAGTGTCTCATCCTCCACCACAGAGAATGGTTATTATCTCTAGTCTAAACAGTCTGCTCACATCTGGGTCTTTGCTTCCACATAGCCTTGCTGGCTGCATCCGTGGAAAGTGGTGTACGGGGAATTTATGGAGCAGGCAAGTTTTCTTCCAATCGTGCTGAAATCCGCCTGAGGGTATATCAATGACTCCAAAAAATTAGAAACAGTGAAAAAAAGACAGAGAAAAACAAACTACAAACTTGTCCATTTTACAAAGACCTAGTGAATAGCCTGGCCATTCAGGGTAAGAACAAACCTGTTGGTAGATTTCCTTCTACCAAACAGGAATTTGGGGACGGAGACTTGTAGAACCAGCACTGGTTCTACTGGAAGGGACATTCCTGGCAAATGACAAGGGCTACAGCCTCTGGCACTTGGCAAAATAGGCTTAAAATGGGCACCATAAGCCATCAGTGGGGCTCAGTCCTATGGAACTGAGGCCAGCAGCTTATATGTGCTCTGTTTAAAGGCAATTATTAATGGCAAGAATAAGTGGTGCTGTAAGAAATAAACTACTTTTATGTCTTACCACAAGTGATACTAGACACTACTAGAGTTAGGATGTTTATTTTCCAGGTATCAAACCACTTCAGGAGACACGCTGGCCTACAGAGAGATTACATTCATAAACTTGGTCCAGTGGAAGGGATCTTGGAATCTCCTCTGGAAGAGCTGGCACTGGCTTCACCATGTGACAGCAGCCTGCCTGAGGCAGCCCTGCAGCCATTCCAGCATGGCAGACCTGTGCCATGCAATGCTGCAGGTCCCATCTCTTTCCTATGCCATAAGCAATGAGTCACATATCTGGGAAAGCCCAGTAGGGAAACTGGATGTGCAGGGATCCTGCAATTTACAGAAGTCATCATGGCTGAGGCCAGCTTCCCATAAAACATCTCCATAAGGAGAAATATTCAGTAGCTGATTAATGAATGTGGTTTACCACAAAATGATACTACACAGGCCTACTCTTTTCAATAATAACCCCATAAATAATATTACTAAAAATCCAAAAATTATCCAAAGCACACTGAAGTTGAGTTGTGATCCCAGCGCCTTGCCTGTTGTCTTCCCTTTGGTGTTAAATCAACACAAACACAATTCTTCAAGGGAGTTTCTAGGTGAAGACAGGAGTGAAGGGATGTGCCTATGCTGCACGGAGCCAGGCCCGTGCTTTTAGCCTCAGAAAAACGTGCTAGTATTTCGAAAGCACTTGGATTCTTCCACTCGGGGAAATCCCCCACTGGCAGTCGGGGTCCATCCAGGGGCTGCAGAGCCCGGGTCTGCTGCAGACCCCGCTCCTGGCAGGGGAGGGCCAGGGGCAGGAGGGGCTGGGGGGCAGCAGGAGGGCCCGGCCTGACAGCAGTCCCCAGGGCAGGGCAGGGCCGGACTGGGGCGGGCAGTGCCGGCAGCTCCCAGGTACTGCCTGCCGCTCCAGCCCCGGGCCGAGCCCTGCCAGCATCGCAGGGAGGGGCCGGAGGTGCCAAACATCCCCCGAGGGATGAGGGAGCCGCCAGCCTCGCCCCTTGCCTGGGGACCGACCCTGCCACATCTCCCGTCCGCTGGCAGCGAAAACTCCAGAGGTGGGCAGGGGGTGCCGGGGGGAGCGGGGCGGCTCCGCAGCAGCTGTGCCTGAGGCAAAGCTCACCTCCAACTCCCCACGGGCCCTGCCCGGCACAAGAGCTCCTCGGGGTTCTTTGTTCGCCGGGATCCTTCCCTCCGTCTCCGTGCTCGCACGGTAATGTTCCTTGCAAGGATTTCCTGCCAAAAGACAATCCCCCTGAGCAAAAGCAGACCGAGAAAGTAGTGACCAATCCTTTCTGGATGGCTGTCACCAGGCTCCTCCCAGCCCCCGCTCCCCCTGCTATTTGCATACAAAAAAATCCAGAAAACTCCCGTTTGCCCCAGCATCTCGCTCAGACTCTCAGTCCCCGCCTGGCAGCAGGAGCCCGGGCTGGGGGACGCTGCCCGCGGCTGAGGTAGCATCGCGCCGCCCGCCCCGTCACCCCGGCCCCCCGAGCCTTTCGCCAGCCCCCCCTCCACCTCCTCCGCGCCCCAAAATGCAGCGCCGCCTCTGCGCCCTGCTCTTGCTGGCGTCCCAGTGCATGGGCTCGGCCGCCGGGCTCTTCCCCTTCGGGGAGCCCGACTTCTCTTACAAGCGTTCCAACTGCAAGCCCATCCCCGCCCCGATGCTGCTGTGCCGGGGCATCGAGTACCAGAGCATGCGGCTGCCCAACCTGCTGGGGCATGAGACGGTGCAGGAGGTGATGGAGCAGGCGACCACCTGGATCCCGCTGGTGCAGAAGCAGTGCCACCCCGACACCAGGAAGTTCCTCTGCTCCCTCTTTGCCCCGGTCTGCATCGACGACCTGGACGAGATCATCCAGCCCTGCCACTCGCTCTGCGAGGAGGTGAAGGAGAGCTGCGCCCCGGTGATGTCCGCTTTCGGCTTCCCCTGGCCCGACATGCTGGACTGCAGCCGCTTCCCCAAGGACAACGACCTCTGCATCCCGCTGGCCAGCAGCGATCACATCCTCCCCGTCACCAGGGAAGGTAAGAGGGAGCGGCCGGGTCGCCCCCGGACAGGCAGCATCTGCCCCCGAAGAGGCGCCCCGACAGCGGGGTCCCTCCGCGGCTTTCCACGGGGGATGGAAGGCGTCAGCCTTGAGTTACAGCTCGCCCCGCTGCTCCGGGACGGGGAGACCGGGGAGGTGGCCGCAGACCGGGCTCAGGGAGGCTTTTTCAAGGGGGCCGGGGAAACCGCAGTCGGGGAGCTGTCACCGGCCTGCGCCCATCTCCATCCTCAAAGAAAAGGTCTGGGACTCGGCACTGAAACCGCGCGGCATCCAGAGGGTGGATCGCCTTGTACAAGAGTCGTCGCTGTAGCGCGGAGCTGGGGGGCTCCGTGTTGTATTTCGACCTCCCTCCCCAGTCCCCTTTTACTTTTTTACCCGTTAAAACAAAAACTTTTGGTTGAGGCGTGAGAAGCCCACCGTGACCCCTGTAGCGGGTCTGCAGCAGGATAAGGCGCCACAAAGTGCCCGGGCAGCTCCGCGGCTGGGGGGAGAAGGAGCAGGCTCCGGGGTGAGGGGATGGAAGCTGGCGTTTCCCAAAGGGTTCCCAACGCCACCTGCTGTTCCTTTCTCCCCGGGTCTGACGGGGACTGTTGCTTGCATTTCCAGCACCCAAGGTCTGTGATGCCTGCAAAAACAAAAATGAAGATGATAATGACATCGTGGAAAACCTCTGCAAAAACGACTTTGGTAAGTGGAAGCAGAGCTCCTCTGGCTTGAAACTTGAGAGCAGAGGATCAGGTACAGCTCCCAGTGGAGTCAGTGAGAGATGTGCCTGAATAAAGGCAGGGCTTTGACCGTTGGGTCATGAAACACAAAATTCCACCTTGGAGTAAAAAGTAGCCCTTTTTATCATTCTTTTCTGTTTACTGTTTTGAAGTAGTGCTCTTTTATGTGGATGTTGCTGGCGAGCCCAGTAGAAAGTAAAATGAAGAGGAAAAAAAAAAAGAGAATCTTTCATGCAGACTATTGCCTGGGGAGAAGTAGAGCAAAGCTTCATTTAGATGTTTGAGACAGAGCTGCATGACCAATCTCAGTGTATCATAAGAAAGACTCTCTCTGCAGATTAAGAATGAAGCTCTATATATCATTTGACAGAGAAGGTAATGCACAGACAATTGGGGATATAAACTTAATGGGAAGATCTGGGGTTAGAGGAGGACAAGAAAGCCCCTTCAACACAGACAACTGAAGGACACATTATCCACACATTAGCATTTCAAGAGCAAAAGGGAATAAGGAGGGGAATCCTTTTACAATAGGTCAGTGTTTAATACCTGGAAACAGATTTGTAGTGTAAGTATCTACAACAATTCAAAAGTCTTTCTTTAAAAAAAGAAAACAAAAACCCACCCAAAACCTGAAACCATGATTGTGGGACATAATTGCTAAAAAAATCAATACTTTTGGCCTGGCAAATTGCACTCAGATAAATCCTCCTAAAGCTAAACATGCCCCACAGCTTCTCAGAGGGCTCTGTATCCCCTTCCTAGTTATTTTACCAAATCGAATGCAGCTGTTGGACCAATTTGCCCTCCATGGGATCTATTCTTTCAAAAAAACAATGCATGTGAAATATCATTTCCTTACAGGTTTGCCTAAAATCCTCTCCAGCCTAATAAATTAAGTGTAGAAGTTTTGAGCTGCAGGAGAGATCAGGTTTCAGATTAGGTCTAGATACTTGCCTCTCCACCTCCCCTTCAAACGCTACTTTCAGGAAGGCTGTCCTCTCCCAGCAGAAAAAAAATGGTGCTCTGCTTAGTGTAGCAAACGTGCCCTCTCTCTGTTGCAAACAGGAGAAAAGCTGGAAAAAATATTAATTTAGAAAGGAAGGGAAAAGAGGGGGAGGGGAGAGAGGAGAAAAGAAGTCCAAAAACCCTCAACCCTAAGGTTGATTCAAACTGAAATGACTTGCATGCCCTTTGTGGCTTTAGAAATGGAGCCACCTGCTGCCTCTTCTGTCAGCCCTGACAGTTTAATTAGCAATAGAGCACCTCCCTCCCCAGGTCCTCTTTATGTGCACTAATGGGAAAAAAACCTCTCAATCTCTCTCCCTCTCCCCACTTCCCCCTCCCCTCGCTCTATTAGCCTTGAAGATAAAAGTGAAGGAGATTGCCTACATCAATGGGGATACCAAGATCACCCCCGAAACAAAGAGCAAAACCATCTACAAGCTGAATGGGCTGACAGAAAGAGATCTGAGGAAGATAGTGCTCTGGCTCAAAGGTGGCCTCCAGTGTACCTGCGATGAGATGAACGACATCAACGTCCCCTACTTGGTGATGGGGCAGAAGCAAGCTGGGGAACTCGTGATCACCTCGCTGAAGCGGTGGCAGAAAGGGCAGCGGGCTTTCAAGCGGTTCTCCCGCAGCATCCGCAAACTGCAGTGTTAGTGGCTTCATCCCTGGCTGTCCTCCGGCAGCCACCCCTGTCCCAAGCTCTCTGGGCCTCCCGCACCTTCCTGCTTTGGCCCCTGTGAGCTTCGAGATGCCGTGGGCACAAGACACAGCGACCGCTCTCCAGGAGGGGAAGAACCCCTCCGTTTTTGTACATAGGTTAAAATGTAATAAAAAAAAAATAATAATGACTATTTTTGGGAAGTATTAAAGTATCTCGCTTAAAGCTTGGGGGTTTTTTATGGTTGCAAACGTGACTTTGGTCTGAGGTCTCTCCCTCTTCGTTTCGGTAATGCTGGTTCATTTATGTTGCCGCTTCTCTGTATGCGTGCATGTTTGTTGTGCCACAGCAGGAGACGCAGAGAAAGCCAAGCATGGCCTGTCACCACGGGCACAGCGCTTCCGCTGAGGTGACACGGCTTCCCGTCTGTATTAACACTATAAAGGTCACATTATGACTCTTGCATGTGATACATAGGCACCAGTAAGAGTATATTAACCATTCTCACATTTTATTTTCCACAAGTCTGAGCCCTTCTCTCTCAGAAAAAAAAAAAAAAAAAAAAAAAAAAAAAAAAAAAAAAAAAAAAAAGAACAAGTTTTGGAGCCAGTTGATCTGAATGCAACTTTTTTCTAATTATTTTGCAAATTAAACCATCTGTAGCCTAACTGTAATATACCTAGTGGTTAATCTGAAAGAGTTGTAAAATATTGCTTTAATTAACCTTGTAAATACTCCAGATAAATGTTATATTCTTGTATATAAACTTTACATCATAGTTTACTCATTGTCTCTGTCTGTATTCATTTTAATCCATTTTGGGAGAGCTGGGAGAAAGATGTCCAACTGGACATCTTTGTCATGGCAAAGCGGAAATTGTCATACCACCCTGAGTGGCCGGTAGAGAAGCACAAAGAAGCCTCTAGTGCTGCAATCAGAAAATCTGTAGTGGACCTCATTTCCCTGAAGATGAGCCCACAAGACACAGGACTGAGGTTCAGTCAGCTCATTTTAATGTGTGTCTTTTGAGCTCTTGGAGATGAGGCTTCTTTTCTGAGGCTCCTTTGTTTGACTGCCTGCATTTTCTCATCTTCTCAGAGGACTCTCCTGACATGGAATTGCAATGAGACCACTGTCTTAAAAATTAAATCCATCTTTCCATTTCTTGGAAAAGACATATTAAGGAGAAAAATGTCATTTGCAACTTGCAGTTCAGAATAATGGTAGAGCAAAGCATTTTTTTATATGTATGTACACTCACTATTCTTACTGAGAAAGAAAATAAAACCTACCTAATAGTGTAACTAAATGAATGTTTTTCAGGAGTTTTCTTATAAATGTTTTCTGATTAAGCATATTACCTGAATTTTATTGTACTTACCCTGAAAAATAGTCTTGCATCCTGGTGCTGTTACACATAGAGAATTCTTCTTAGCTTCACTGACAGGATGAGCAGTCCCATATTCCCAAGAACAACATTTTATGTTGACAGAATACAAATCAAACACTACTCTACTTTTCTGTTAAGTAAAAAAAAACCAGGTTATTTTCATAAATTTAGTGTTATTTTTCATCATCAGGATCAAAAGATGGAAAGTAAAGACCCAACATGTACATTTTTTTAGAAAAATGAATTATTTGCCCTCTCCCACAGTCTTAATGCATTAACTACACCTGGTAGGATGCTGACCATGCAAGAAAAGATAAATCCTCACAAACGTCCTCAAAAGTACAAGAATTTAAAACAATTTTTTAAAAGGGAAAAAAGTAACCAATCACCAAACAAAATCCCCATTTCAAACTGGCTCTTAATTATTTTGTGAAATGGTATCCATTTTTAAAGGCCAATACCTTGCTGAAAAGTCATAAAAACCTTTCTTCTGAATGAACCTGGCTTACCAGGAAAGAGATTTGACTCTTTTTGTGTTCTGGTGTAATTATTTTAACACTAGCACTCTGTCCATCATCCTACAGAGCCATTTGCATTCAGGTGTTTTATCATTTTACCCTTTCTGCTCAGCATATGATGTAATGCCAGTACCTGAACAGCCCTGGGTTTAGAGGAGGTGTCTGAAGATGAACCTGCAGGAAACAGGCATATGTGCCCCGTGGGGGAAAGCACTTTGAAGAGGCAGTTGTTGCAATGCAGCAGTCACTGGGGACTGAAAATGAACAGCCAGGACTGTTGCACACAGCCTGCCTTAAAGATACTAAGTTGTCCTACAGCAGTCATAAAATTATCTTTAATTGGGCTGTCCTAGAAGGCAGCAGTACTGATGCTGATGAGGACAGACAGGTCACACACAGTTACTCACTCTGGGGTCATATTAAAGCCAAGACCAGATAACAGATATTTGCCAAATTACTTAGATGTATGAAGACGTATCACCTATGGTCAACAGTGCCCTGTCTTAAAGCAAAACCCCACACCACATTCCCCTTCCTCCATCACAACATAAACAGTTACACCAGCAAAATCCTGTTTATATTGGGACAAATTCAGGAGAAGAACCAATTAAACTGGCAAACAATCAATTTTGCTGATAAAATCGATGTCCTGGATTAAGAGCACCCTGCCATACAGATGCTGTACCAATAAAGCCTTCTGCATGTGGCCCCTGGCTGAACCACTGGGACCATCCACTCTTGAGGTGAATTGACAGGGTAGGATTACCTTTCAGACAAACAGGATTTAGGCAAATGTGAAGTCATGGGATTCACCCTTTCCCAAATTTCCATTACCTTGTTCTAACAGCATTGTATTTAAGGATGGGTCGTATCTACCTCACCAAGAGGTGTCAATGTTTGTTGTACTGTTTCTAGTGGTGTAAAAGCCAGACATTGCAAACTATTCAACTGAAAATTAGGATTTTAAAGTCACAGCCTGAGGAAACTTCACCTCTCAGACACTGGCAAAGAAGTAAACACATGCATTTTTACTCTTACTTGCTCAAAAATAACTGAAAAACTTTGACTGTGCCAGGAAAATAGTGAGCCAAACATATAATAAAAATTATCAGAGCCTGTTACTTCTCATAATTGTGTTGCATATACTTCAGAGTAACTTTATTGGTTCACTCCTAACAAAGATTTTTTTGCAATTGATGAAAAAAGGCAACCCACTGCTGCATTTTTTCAGACACTTTTTGTCTTTTTCTAAATAAAACAACGTTTTTATGCAGCCAATTATGTAGCTTCCATTGTATTTGCTTTCATAAAAACTATAAAAGCAGCTGACTACAATGGATTAGTTTAAGAACAATAATAATGATACTTGACATTTATACAGAAGTTTCCATTTAGTTTCTCAGACTGCCTTCACAAAAATAGGCATTTATATCCTTCTTTTGCAGATCAGGAAAACGAGGCACAGTGAAGTGAAATAACTCATTCAAAACCACCCAGTAAGTCTTTTACAGTCAAGAAAAACAGAGTATTTATTTTTCTCCAAGTTTTATGCTCTAATCACTAGCCCACAGCAATCAGAATGACGTATAATCAAGGCAGCACTTAGATTATAATTTGAAAGCATAATATCAACCAAGGCTCCCTCCAACTTCTTCCCCTCAAGTGTGTAAAAAAAAAAGTCTGCCCAAATTCGAATTTAAAACCCATCAGCAATATTCCTCACAGACCTTTCCTTTCTTTCTTATTGGTAGTTCTCTTTATTCTTTAACTATTTCTTAATCCTGTTTTCTCCCTCACTTCTCATTCACTTCAGACACCCATAAAGAAGCCACCCAACCCCTCTCTCACCGCTCTCATACAGACACTTTTGCCCTCAGAATGGTTTATTAAAGAACTCATGCAGTATAACCAGACACAAGCCACAAAAATCCCAGTGACTGGCTCAAGACTTAAAAAGACCCATGTGGAAAATCCAGCAAGAGACATGTAAATTTAATTAATTATTTTCTCTGAGGACAGGAGGGCAGTTAGATGCCACAAGGAACATCACAGACACATGCTGGTTGGCTCTGGCCACTATATCTATTCTACAGGACGAGAATATAAAGATATTTAAGGAATATGTGAGCAAGAATGAAGAATAAACAGGTAGGACACACCTCTCCTTGCTGACCAGGTCTGCTGCATATCTCCTTGTTGTTATAACCCTTTGTTCTCCAGTCTTGGACCATGAAGCACCTCTCTCAACCATCTTTCAGATGTCTCACTACCTTTCTTCAGCCTTCAAGGGTATCAACCAGGACCAGAGCCACCAAGACCAAGGAAAGGACCACCGCTTTATCCCCTAGGTGTCCATGGGACATGAACAACCCCCCTGCAGCCAGCAGAGCAGCTCAGCTTTGGCTGCTTTGGCAGCCCACTGCCATCCTCACCAAACCTACCAGCTCTGGCAGCCTTTGTGATGTGGCCACAGTTGGTAGTGCCAGAGGAAGGGCAGTGGATTGATTGCTACCAGAGCAGTAGGCAGCCTCCCTTAGGCTGGACAGCCAGGCTTTTGTTACTGGAGACAGAAGTTCCTATTTCTAGGCTTCAGAGACCTGCCTATATGATTTATCTAGAAGTTGTTTCTTATCAGCAGATGTAGTTTTAGTACAGCCTGACTGTCTGGTGAAACAACCACAGGAATGGATCTTGTTTGCCTCTACAAAGAGGAGAGTGCAAGATATTCACATCACAGGAATCCAAGACCCCAGGCTCTCTTACAAACATAAATTAGCCCACACTATATCCCTTTGGGGTGAGTTTAATAGAGTAACATTTTCCAAATGCATCAACTGCTTTCAGGGTGAGCCATGGGCTCCTAAATCACCTAGATGCCTTGGAAAATATTAGCCGCTATCCCCCACTGGAGTTCAAGCCAGTTGGCCAGGGTCAGCCAGCAAGCCTGTCACCCAGCCAGGAGGAACACCTCAGCAATCAGCCAGCCACCCCATTGCTCTCACAACTGATCAAAATAACCAACCAACACAGAAGGCTGCACTGTGGAGCAGCTGATGGAGCAAACTTCAAAACCAATCCCCACACAGACAGAGCAGCTGTCCAGCCAGAAGGACCAGCACAAGTTAGAGGTATGCTCAGTGTGTTACAGGACAGACACAAGAAACATATACCTTCTAAGACTCACAATAAGGCAATGCTGTTAATGCAGCTCTCTCAAAACCCAGATGCTGCAGATCATCCTTTTGGAGTCATTTTCAGACCACAAAAGTGATGCTAGAATTGTGGAGAATTTTCTGTTTGGACACAGCAGATTGCCTTTAGAGGCAGAGCCAAAACTAGCAGGAACTGGCAGATTTAGGACTGATCTAGGAAAGTAGCAGAAATGCTAATTTAAGAATACTTTCAACTTTCCAGATCTTTGTTTTCAGAGCTTAATCCTGACAGTCTTCATCAGACATGAAACTTTCCATATGGAGCCACTATGGAAAGACAATTAAAGAGTTTTCCAGTGATACCTGTTTTTATCAGGCAAGAGATAACTAATCCTTCCCTGGCAATTTCCCTGCATTGTTAGTTAAATTCAAATCCCTAACATTGTCTAATTGCCTTTTTTGTTATGTGAATCTCCAGCCATGCACCATAGGGAGCCCTGG